GCCCCTCCCCTTTTTTTTTTTTTTTTTTTTTTTTTTTTTTTTTTTTTTTTTTTTTGTACCAGGGATCAAACTCAGTCCCTTGAGCTTGCAAGGCAGGTGGCAGAACCACTGAGCTAAATCCCCAGCCCTACTCCTTTGGGGAAAGCTGACCCTTAGCCTTGGCCTAGAGAAGCCCCGTTTCCAGCTCCCTGGCACCAGACAGACCAAGCTTGGGTCATTCTCAACCCTATGTTCCCGGTCTGACTAGACAGAAGGTCCTGGAAGGGCCAGCAGGGCAAGTCCATGTTCCGCCTCGCTGTTCCAAGATAAGAAAAACCAAGGAAGCCCCAAGAAGAGGAAAGACTTCAATCATAGCAGCACCTTCTTCCTTTAAGTGCTTTGGTGATGGCAGTGGTAGCAGGCTGTTTCCTACTCTCTTGACTTCAGCTATGCCTTGCCACCTGTCCTGGGTGTCATGGCAGGGCTCTCAGGATGTTTGGCTGGGAAAAGTGACTTTCTGAAAGTCAGTGTCCTTTCAGAAAATAACCTCATGAGCTCTGCCTTGTGCCCCTGACGAGGCTGGTCCCCACCAATCCACATCACCACACCTACATCCCCTCGAGGCGCAAAGTGAATGCCCATCACATAGTGGCCCTGACCGGCCTTAACAGCAGTGTAACAGCAAATAAACATGCAGCTGTGTGGCACCCCGGTCTGTGCTTGCCATTGACGCGGTGTCGCCAAACGGTGAGTGGGGAAGTGGCATTCTGTGCTCTGTCACTGTGCCACGCTGGGCTTGTCCACTCAGCAGTGTGCACGGGGCCACCTCCCACTGTGACTTTCATGGGCTGGTCTTCCACAAACCTGCGTGAGGCTGTCTGTCGCACAGGTGGGCTGCAAGCCTGCGGGGGGCTGCTGTGACGGGGGTCTGTGTGGGAGACAGGTCTGCTTTCTCCAGCTCCACGGGTGAGAGGCGCGCTGTGCCACATTGGAGGAGACGGAAAGTCTCAGCTCCATTAGAATGTCCTGGGGCCACCAGGAATGCTCGGTGTGTGGTGCCGCTGTGGGCACATGGCTGCATGTAGGCCGTGTCACGGCATAGTATTTCCATCATGCTGACACCACCCACCCCTTCAAGGGCTCAGCAACACGTAGTGAGAGAGCTTTAAAATGACATTCTGCATACTTACTGCCTTTGTCTCTAATACATTCAATTATGGTTTGTAAGATTTGGTTATTGGTGGTTCAATAAGCAGCTCATCAAATTCCTGAACATTTAATAATCATCAGTTCTAGCCAGCCACAGTGGTGCAAACCTACACCAGTACTCAGGAGGCTGAGGCAGGAGGATCACCATGAGTTTGAGGCCAGCCTGGGGTACATAGTGAGCATGATTTCAAGGCCAGCCTGAAATGCACAGCGAGACCCCGTCTCAAAAAATAAAAATAATCAGCTCTAGTGAGCTAGAAGAGCCACCCCTCCCATGAGAAGGGCCTGTCCCTGTCCTTCAGGGCAGCAGACCCTGTAGGCCCTTCCTCAGTGACCTGGATGTGTGGGGTGGGTGTTCCCATCGGCCTCTGGTGACCATGAAGCTGGTGACCCTTTCTGCAGTCTCACAGACACACACTCTCCTCGCCAGGGTAGGTCAGTCAGCAGAGTGTGGTGACCCTGGACAAGGAGGCCCAGGGCCCAAGCCTCAGCCCTACTGCTAATTCCCAGCCTCACCTCCATTTGTAAAGTGGGGCCACTTAGCACAGAGCTGCTGGGAGGCCATTCTCCTGGTGGTGTCATTTACTGAGTGACCAGGGCACCTTACCTGGCCTTTTTCTGTGCAAGCGTGTGTGTGTGTGGGGGTAACTGGGGATTGAACCCAGGGCCTCCATACTGAGCTGCATAAATACCCAGCCCTTTTTTTGAGATGGGGTCTCACTAAGTTGCCCCGGCTGGGCTCAGACTTGCACTTCTGCCTCAGCCTCCCACAGTGCTAATTTACAGGCTACAGGCATCTACACCACATGGCTTGGGTTTCTTCAATCTTAATTTTTAGCTGGGCATGGTGGCACACACCTGTAATCCTACAACTTATGAGGCTGAGGCAGGAGAATCACTGTGAGTTCCAGGCCAGCCTGAACTACACAGTGAGATCCTGTCTCAAAACAAAATCTCCTTTCCAACCTGTAATACTGGGGTATAGTATGGGGGTGCTGCGGTGTAGAAACAGTACCAACCTCAGAGTGTTGCTGAGAATCAAATACCGTATAAATCCAACATGTTTCGTGCCTTAATATTGACTTTACCATTAATCACTCAAATCCAAAAAATAGTTCCTTCTTTGAAGATTTTACACAGACTTCCAAGAAACTCCAGCCTGGTGAGGCGTGGGAGCCGGTCCACTCAGTCCAGTCCTCCTTGGGTGGGGCCTTCCGGAACCTTCCCACAGGCCTGGCCTGAGGCCCATGGAGTCAGGGCAGCTGAGGGAGGGGTGGGCAGCGGGTAGAGTGCCCAAGGGCATGGCTTGGCATGGCTTCTCACAGCTGCCAAAGAAGGTGTTTTAAAACATTCTCCAGCAGGAGTGGTTTTTTTGAGTCTCAGTGAGAAAACATGAAATGGTAGAATACTGAACTATGATGAGAAATTTCACATCCAACAAAAATCAGCTCCCCCTTGGACACGATGGAAGTTCTTGCTTTTTTTTATTTTGTTGTTTTTTTCTTCTGCTGTGAGGAAAGCTCTATTTTTACCTCCTCTGAGGAAGAGCAAAAGACTCTCAAGGAAAAAATACAAAGTTCGAATTAAACAGCTCTAACCTGGGGACAGACAGGCGTCCCAGGTGGGCCCTGTGGAAGTGACCGTTAGCTGCACCCTGCAGGCTGTGGAGCCAGTGACACAGGCTATGGGGGAGCCAGAGGAGGGGACAAGCAGCTCCTGAGAAGCGGCGCCTGCATCACCATCACCGTGCCGCACCCGGGCTGTAAGGAGAAGTCCCGCTCTTCCCACGGCTACGCTGGCCTGCTGGTGACAGCATGGCCTCCAGGACCGGGAGACTGAGCTGTGAACTGAGGCTATGAGCTCACCCCATACTCCCCCCAGTGCCACCAAGGAAACAGGACGAAAGAAACTGCAGCTGCTGAGGCTTGTGGGAAATCCATGAATGACACAGCAGTGTCAACGTCAGGGAAGAGGTTTCTTACCCACTTACCCTCCAGCTCAGACTCTTGCCACTGCCCAGAACACAGTCGCCTCCTGGAAAGATTGGGGGACTTGCCACTTTCCACACCATAGCATGGTCTCCTGTTTTAGGCTTCCCATGCTTTTTGTGCTTTTCAGCACCTGGAACATAGCAAGGACTCAACAACCTGCACAGCAGACATTTGCCTGGCACCCTTCACACCTTTCTTCATCTGGCAAGTGTGGACTGACCTCCTCCCAGAAGCCTGCCCGCTAGGAATCCCCAGCTGGGTCAATGAGTCTCTCCTTCCAGGCCTGAGGGTCTTTGTGTTCCTGGTGCCATGACAACAGGCCCCCAGGAAGGCCTGAGCCTCAGGGAGGCAGTCACCTGGCCCCAGGTCAGACTCTGAGACCCAGGCTCCCAAGACCTCAGCCCTTCCTTCCAGGTCAGCCAAGCCCACTTCCCCACCTGCGCCAAACCAGGGAGCTTCTGGGTAATCCTGTCATCAAAACTATGCCATGCTGCACTGTGGGGTGCTGGGAAGGTCTCCTGGAACTTGGTCACTTGGGACAGCAAACGACCAGCTGTCACTGATGTGAGAAATGAGCTTGGCGGGGGATGCAGCTCAGCCGCACCACACCTGCCTCGCAAACGCAAGGTCCTGAGTTCAATTCCCAGTACCAAAAAACAAAAACAAAAGAGAAAGGAAAAAAAAAAAGAAAAGAAAAGAAAAGAAATGAGCTCAGTGATCCAGGAGCCTGGGCATCAAGGGACATGCACAGCCCTTGGAAACCAGCCTGTAAGAGCCTCACCATTCAGATATTAGCTTTTTAAAATGTAGGAATGAGCCCTCCATAGTGGAACATGCCTATAATCCCAGCATTCTAGGAGGCTGAGGCAGGAGGATGGCATGTTTGACCCCCAACCCAGGGAGCTTAGACCCTATCTCACAAAAAAAAAAAAAAAAGAGTAGTGGATATAGCTCAGTGCAAAGGTCCTGGATTCAACTCTTAGTACTATAAAAATGAAGGAAGGAAGGAATAAATGGCAGGAAGCATGCACGCCTGCATTCTCTCCCATGGCTTCAGAACAGAACTATCCCTAGATGGTAACATGAGGTCATCTGGAGGAGTCCAGCAGGAGATGAAATGAGCTGCTCTCACCCCAGGCACAACTGCCCCAGCCCAAAGGCAGAGATGGGGCAGAGGCTGGTCAGGACAACTCGGCCTGGAAAAAACTCAACTAGTGCAGGGCAGGTCCAGGAGGGAGGGGGACCCAGCTGCTGGTGGGCTCTGGCTGGGCAGCAGGAACCTTTCACTGTATCACCCCACCCACCCGCAGGCAGCTGGAAGAGAAGTTGCACCAAGGCCGTCCTTCCAGGCAGAGGTGGCCCGCTGCCGCTTTCTGGGCTGGGCACAGGGCCTGTGCACATCAGACTCAAGTTCCAAGCAGGGTCTCCATGCAAGGAGTAAAATGACGTAGGACGTTGCACGGTCCCAGTAAGAATGATCGGCCCACAGACGTGGCACACTGGGGGCTGCCCTGCCTGGCAGCCAGGGTCTCGAACTACCTGCTGCTGACCCTGGGTCTCCGGGCTTCCCCGACTTCCTCCTTTCCTGCGGGGGGCGGGTCAGCAAACTCTCTCACACCCAGAGCACCCAACCATATTTGTGTCCTACGGACAAAGGAGACTCTGAGTGCTTGCTGTCTTTCAAACATCACGCTTCCACCATGGGGTCTGAACTTGGCTCTGCTCTTCGGTCTGCTTTTAACCTCTTTGCGGGGCATTGTTGAGTATTCCAGGAATCAGAGTTCGAGAGGAAATTCCTCAGAACCAAGTGTGGACCTTGGGGTGGCATCCAGCCTGCCCTCGGCCTTGTGGTTTCTGTGTGACCCAAGACCCTGCTGTCTGTCGTCAAGGGCCGCTAACAGTGCGAGTCTGTGTGGAGAAAAGGGGCAGCAGTTTGGAATCCAAGATACGACTCCATGAAGCTCGAAAAAGTGGAGAAAGGAGCAAAGTGCTACTACAAGAAGCAAGCACTGGAGAATTTTGGGGATTGTTTTTATTTGAGGTTCTCACAGTGGTTAGAGCCACTCTGTCTTTAGAACAATCACAGCATAGGAAATGCGTCACCAAGACTGCCCAGAAAAGTGACCAGCTGAGTCTTATTGCTTAAAATACACATATTCACAAGAACTGACAAACGGCAAAGTACCTCACACAGGAATGTGTCTGCCTCTGCAAATAATCTGACTGTAGCACCAAACCAGTCACCAACCCCTCTTCTCACTGATCTGGAAAATGAGACTCAACCAATTCTAGAGGGCCCTGACCACGCCTTCCCTCCCATCGCTCTCCCAGCAGGCAGCCCTGCGGAGTAGAACCCACAGGGAGAGGAACCTGGGATGGTCAGAGGTCACCTATCTGACCAGTGAGCTGAACAGATTCATCTTGCCAAGGCTGTTCTCCTCCGAGATGCTTCAGCGAGCTGTTCGGGCCCTAAAAGAGGGCTGGGCGGAGGTGTCAGGTTGCTCAGGTACCCGGCCCCTTCTGACCACCATCAGCCTCTCCGTGTTTGCCAGGCCTCCTTCAGAGAATCTGGGCAGGCCGACACCCGGGCTGCAGCTGGCCCCGGCTCGCCACTGAGGAGCCCACCAAGCTCCTGTCCTGCATGGCATGGACATCGACACGGAGGAGGAGGAGCAGTGGGGGACGGCAGGTCTGGAGCGTGGCTCCATGGACAGGAACAGAACTCGGGCCTGAGTGCCCTCGGAGCATGTGCAAATTTCGGGGGAAGGGAGGAGGGCGGAGCCCTTTCTGGAGCCCAGCATCTCGACCAGCGTGGGGCTGCCACAGGCACACTGAGCACACAGTCAGATTTTTGTTCGGTAAACATAAATGCTCAGAATAAATTACCTTGAGAGGGCCATGTCTGCTCTGGGTGTGTGTACAGAATGGCTGCCATTCAAAGTATCTTCACAGGAACACAGGGACTAGGCTAACACACCACACACACCACACACACCACACACACACACACACATCCAAAATGTCACTGTATACAGATTTCACTTTGTTCGACATGGATTTTGGTTTTGTGGAATCCAAAAGCAAACACTCGCTCACCTCACAGCCTTGGATTTGTCTGCTTTATGCATATAATCTTTTTTCCCTTTTTTCTTACTGTAACATCAACACCTAGTCTGAATATCACGGTTCAAGAGCAGGGAAAAACCAAACATTTCCTATGAAAGGGCTGGTTGGGGAATGTAGTTTCATCAGCTGCTTGCTTTCTCCTTTAGAGTGTTCCTAGCAACTCATTGGTTCCCTGAAGCCAAACAATAGTAAGAAGGACCCTGCTGTCCCGCTGGAGGCTGCCCTTGCCCTCCTGGCCAGCCGGGGCTCTTCACTGAGGCCACAGAAAATGAGTCACCGCACTGAAGCAGGCAGGGGCACCACAGATAAGCAGGCGTGGGAACCACAGATAACCAAGGTACTTCTGAGTGGTCAGCTGAAAACACATGCAAACAACAGAAGACTTACTAAGAATCAAGGAGAAAATACTGTGTGAGAACCAGGGCCCAGGCTGCCATCCCAGGACTGGGCTCCCGCAGTCTGCGTGGTGACAGGGGCAGGGAGACGCAAGGCGCAGACCAGAGCGCAGAGACACAGGAAGGCTGGGTCAGGGCCTCCTCTCCCACTGGGTCTGAAATGCAGCTCCCGGCACTCACGTCCCTTGTGCAGAGAACACTTTTGCCTGCTCACTCTAAGGTTCTTGGTGGCTAGTGTGTAAAGGAAACAGAAGAGAAGGCAGGGCACAGCCAGCAAGGCTGCTGGAAGGGGCCCGAGGAGGTGCAGCAGGCACTGACCTCTCGCCTGGGATCTGCGTGAACACACACACTCCCCTCCACCTGCCTGACAGCTTGCACCTGCCTGACTGAGGCCCCCACCCCACACCTCTGCCGACTCGGCAGTCACAGGCGACAACCCAGCCTCTCCTGGACTAAGACACAGCCAGGTTCTCTTAAGCTAACCTCAGAGCATGAATCCTCTCCCCCACCAGGAATCATCTAGGGGAGTCCCAGCCCTTCCTTGGGGGTTCAGACACACATCTGTGCCCCATGCAGGTCGGAGACAGGACTAGCAGAGGAGGGGTGGGATGTGAGGAAGGAGTCGCAGGTCTGACTTCTGAGCTCTGCACAACACTGCTTTCCTGGGTGAGAGACGTCCACACCCCAAACTGTACCTGGAGATGCAGGAAAACGGAGAGGAGGAGAAACAAACAAAAGAACAAAGTGGCTGCCCACTTCCTCAGAAAGCCCCAAGATGCATAATGCTTCTCTTCTCTGTGGCTCTCCCGTCCTGCCCTGCGGCTTTGGCTTTGTGGAGTCTGCCTGCAGGCGGGGCCTGCTCTAACTGGGGGAGCCGCTGTGCTGGGAGCCAGGCGAGTCCTGCTCACGGATGGTGTTCAGCAGCAGGCACGCGGGTGGCCGGGGTGGGTGGCTATGGCCTGGCTCCGGGGCCTGTTCCTCTGAGGGCCGGCAGAGCCCCTCCTCCTCATCAGCAGGTGGCCGCACGTGGCAGCTATCGCAGAAGTCCAGGGGCCCATCCAGAGTGTCATCAATGAGCGCGCTGAATTCCTTGAGGTCCTCGTCATGGTGGCCGCGGCTGCACACGCACACCTCTATGCCAGAGTCCCCGGTGAAGCGGCGATGTCTGCCAGGAATCTTGTCCTTGCTGTCGGATAGTGCGCTGCCGCGCTCCAAGCCACAGTCTTTCAGCAGCCCCTCCTCGCATTCCAAATCCTTGTCCAGGAAGGCCCCGGGATCCAGCTCCCCCAGGCCGGCCACCGAGCCACTGGGCTCTGCGCCGGGGACTTTGGTGGCTGCTGGGTCGGCGGGCATGTCAGGGGGCTCGGGGTCGGCAGTGCTTGGGGGTCTCGTGGTGCTCCTGCTGGGCCCGGAGGGGCTGCTCTGCGCCCCGGGGGATGGGGAGCCCCTGGTGGGATCGGGGTCACACTGAGGAGGCAGCTGGGCCTGCTGTAGCTGGAAGGCACTGTATGGCGGGGGAGGAGTTGGAGGCCGGCTCACCACTTCCTCATAAGGAGGTAGTAAGTAGTTTGGCAAAAACCCTAAAATGGGGAGGTGGGGGAGAAATTACTGCGCTGGCCAGCATCCCAGGACAGGGTGCAGAGCTCACGCCAAACACACACTGTCCCTTCCCACCCTGCAGGACAGCCACCAAGCATGGCCATGGCCTTTGGTTGTGGGCAGGGAGAGGGCTTCGAGGAGAGGGCAACTGTGGAGAAAGGCCAGTCTGGAGGTGGTCTAAGCTAGCGGGACACCCGAGAACCCCTCGTCCTGCTTCACAGCAAGGACCCCCTGCTACCTAGTGCTAAGGCACAGTGAGGTCAGCGGTGTGCTGGCGGACCCGTGTCCACTGGCACGCAGGTCTCATGTTTCTCGCCGGACTGTGTCTCATCTCGCCTGTGGGCCTTGCGGTCAGGGACCCTACTCCAGGCTTCCTGACCACATCTTTCGTTCCCTGCCCTTCCAGATACACCCCATCTTGGGTCTTTCTCTGGGAGGTTAGAATCTGTGCTCGCTCGCTCTAGTGTGGCGGAGGTGGTCTGGAAGACAAATGAGCTTCCACGTGACTCAGAGCAGAAAGTGGGAAGACCGGCAAAGCGGAACCTCTCTCATGCAAGGCAGGACACCGGCCAGGTGAGTCACCAGGGGCACCACCACTATCTCACTGTAACAATAACTACTAGCGTTTATGCAGCACTTACTATATGCCAGGCACTGTCCTAAGCAACTGACCCTTTTGTTCTGTGGAACACACTGCAGAAATGCTTGGGATAAACTGCCCAGCTGGTCCATGAGGGCCACTTGAGGTCATGTGTAAAGAACCCTGGAAGTCTGGGGAATGCTCTTCAGTGTAGCACAGAGCTTCCTGGTTTCAGGAAGTCCCGCCCCAGCACTACCCTAGCCCCTTTCCCGGCCACCTCTACTAGGCCTGTCACGCGCCTGTAGGCAATGGGAGGAATTCAGGCCACTCATTCCTATGCTAGGCTCCATCCAACCAGCTGCCCTAAAAAGAAACACAAACCTAGCCGGGGAGGGTGATGCACACCTGTAATCCTAGCACTTGGGAGGCTGAGGCAGGAGGATCTCTGTGAGTTCGAGACCAGCCTGGGCTACATAGTGAGTTCTAGGTCAGTCTCAACTACATAGTGAGACCCTGCCTCAAAAAACAAACAAAAAACAAAACAAAAAAACACAAACTTGCTAATGGGGCCAGAACTCAGCCATTATGAGCGTAGGAACTGCCCTGTGCCTGGACCCTGCTCTGTGTACAGAAAGCAGGCAGACACTCCGTGCCAGCAGAGTCTGGCCCACCTCTGCACCCCGGGTGTACGTACTGAAATAAAACGGCAGCGCTGAGAAATTATGGGCTTCCCGGTAGGCGATCAGGTTGATTTCATGCTGTCGCTGCTGGGCCTGGAGGCGGTGCTTGGCTCGGCGGTGGTGGCAGACGCAGCAGCAGCTCAGGATGATGATGATGGTCCACACCAGCCAGAACCCTGGTGGGCAGGAGAGAGGCAGGCACGTGAACACCAGCTGCAGCGGGCAGGGCCACAGGCCATGCCAAGTCCTTGCGGTTAAGCTGTCTATTCCTGAATGGACAGAGCAAAGGGTGGAGAGTGGGAGGGGGCAAGACAGGGAGAACTACGACACTAGATAGTTACCCCAGTTCTCGCTGTGGTTAGGGTCTGTGGGCATTAAATATGGCTACCGTCTAGGCAGCGGGCGTCTTCTCTCGAGAGATCAGGAGAAAACACCTTACTTTCCTGGGGCCCATCTCTCCCTTCTCACCACAGCTCAGACCAGCAACTGCAAGGGCTTCAGAGATGCCCTAATAAAGGAATGCTTAGTTAGCCTCTGTGGCCAAAAAGGCCAGGGCTCTTTGTCACATATGCTTCTGTCATACAGGAAGCACTGAAGTTAAGAGGTGGAAAAATTCTAACCCTCAGGCCCACCTCCTCCCCGGAGAGTAAGGCTTCTGGCCCGCGTTCTAATCCAGCTCAGTTCCATCTCTCACTGCCAGCCCAGCCTCGGCCTGCCGGCCTCCTCTCCACACAGTTTGCCTCAGCAAACCCAATAGAAGAGCCACTCCCCAATTTCCAAATGTGAGGCCTTTTCTCAAAGTTAAAAAGGGGCTGTGGAAGAAGCTTGGTGCAAAGGCCTTGGATTCAATCCCCAGGATCATAAAACAAACACAATGGCCAGTTGGTGCTGAGTGACAGCTTGGTGACAGAGCACTTGCCCAGCATGTGTGAGGTCCTGGGTTCGATGCCAAGCCCCACAAAAATGAAGTAACAATGAATCGGAAGAAAAAAGAACGGTTGGTAAGGAATCAGGAGGTTATTCTGGGCCAGAGGACACTGGAACCAGTGCCTTTACCTTTTGCTCATCTGTATTTTTAATTTTTTAAGATGAACATGTAGTCCCCTGCCCCCTAATTGAACCCAGGGGCCTGACACTGAGCTATGTATCTACCTCTGGTCCTTTTAAAGTTTTTTTTTTTTTTTTGAGACAAGGTGCTGGGATTTCAGGCATGTGCCACCATGCCCAGCTTAAGTGTGTGGTTCTTCACAGTAGAAAGAGCACTATCTTCATTGATAAAGATGTATCTGAGGGGGTGCACGCCTGTGATCCCAGCATGCTGGCAGGCTGAGCCGGGAGTCAAATTTGACCCCAGCATGGCAATGTAGGCAGGAGTCAGACCCTGGGTTCATGTCCACTACCAAGAAGAAAAAAGGCATCCCTCTCCACAAACACAGCAAACATGTAACCCCGAGCTCTCCTGTGTGCTCTACAAGCCCCAGCGCTGGGCGGGCGGGCTAGGATCAGCCAGTGCCTAGAGCCAGGGTCTGAGCCTGCCCCTGTGCGCTGACCACCAAGAGGAGGGGCGGGGGGAGGCCCCAGCCGGTTGAACTCGAGGACCCAAAGAAGCACAGCACCCTCCGCTGGCTGGGCCATGTTAGCTTCCCAAACCCCCGAGGCTGCCACCTTGACCAGCAGCTCAGCTTTAAATAAATGCCTTATCCCCTAAGGTAATTAGCAACTAGCTATATTTTTACCCCCAAGTCATTTTTTCTGTATTTATTTGCCTAATGGTAACTAAGCATTACTTTTTGGCTTTCATAACTTTTTTTTTGAGACAAGGTCTTACTATGTAGTTCGGTCTGGCCTTGAACTCACTATGTAGTCCAGGCTGGCCTCAAACTCACAGCAATCCACCTGCCTCAGCCTCCCAAGCGGTGGGATTACAGGTGTGTGCCACCATGCCTGGCGTTAGGCTTGGACCTCCTGGCTCTTCTTTATGAGTCCGCCGGAGCTCTGGGATGAGTTCTAGTAATGAACTGGGATTGAAAGTGACTTAAACATCTCTAGCAGATGTAAGAAAGTGGCAGCCCTCTGGATGTCATTTCATTCTATCTGCCTGGGACCCAAAGGGTGCTGAGGTGGGAACAAGCTCCTGTCCAGCCTTCACTGGACTAGTGTGAGTGAAATGTAAGTCTGCCGCTGTCAGCCCCATGGCCTTGGACTTCTCCACTCCTGCAGCAGAACTTTGCCTGTCTGGACTGCTGGTGCTTACAGGGCTTTTGGGGGAGAGGGCTGCAGTGCTCATCAAAGTTCCAAAAAAGGCCAAGATCCAATGAACTGAAGTATAAGAGAAAAAGAAGCCTTTTTTCTTTTTAAAAGGACAGAAGAAGACAAGTGGAGTACGAGATGAGACAAAGGAACACGTATCTTTGGCAAAGTTACCTTTGCCTTAAACTTGTGGCAATCCTCCTGCCTCAGCCTTCTAAGTGCTAGGATTACAGGTATGTGCCAACACACCTGGCACTTTTGTCTCATTTTCAACATAGTGCCAGACAACTTACATGCTCACCAGAGCCCTGTGTGTGTGCGCATGCACACGTGCACATGTATTTGGAATCAAGCCCAGAGCCTCTTATGTGCTAAGCACATGTTCTATTACTAAGCTACACCACCAGCTCAGTCCTATTCATTTGATCTAACATGCACTGCACCAGTCGTGTGCATTTTCTGGAGGGAGCAAAACGGTCTAGCGGCACAATGGGCTGTCAGAATGGGCGCAGAAAAGACACCTCACAGGCGAGCCCCACCTGGTGGGAAGTAGGCAGCCCTCACAAATCCATCCTCTCAGGAGACATACTAGCTCCTTAGTCCAAGCTGTGTCTCCCTAACCTTCAAAGGGACAGGACCGACTAGTTCCCATGGGGCCTAATTTTAATTTTTTAGCTAAATTTCAGAAACAAGGAAGAAAGTTTAAAAAGTGAAATCTAACAAAAGATACACACGAGAATACAGAAATACTTCCCCTCTGCCCATGAAACACACACCTTCCTAGAGACTACATTCCTCAATGGCAACTCTAAAAGCTGCGACCTTGGTGTGGGGATCCAACTCGGGTCCTTGCGCTTGTGAGGCAGGTGGCAGAACCACTGCGCTAAATCCCCAGCCCTTGGAAAGCATGTTTCTAAAACCAATCACAGCCCAATGCAGTAACTGAGTCATGTGCCCCAGAGTTCACTACAAACCTGGGAAAACACCACTCTCCACCAGCAGGAAATTCCCCATGGGGCACCCAAGCGCCCCAAGCCAGCCCACTTTCCTCCATGTCAGGACAGAGGGTGCAGGCTGGCCCTTGGCAGGGCCCTGCTGCTGCCACTCGGAAAGAGGCCTGAATTTGGAAAATGAGGACTTCAGAGACTGGCACCTTCCTCTGAAAAGCCAGGAACTGATGAGTAAACGTGCCCACAGACCTGGAGGAGCCAGAAGCAGGGGACCTGGGTTCGAACCCAGCTCACAGTAAACACTTCCTTTAGTTGTGAGCGAGGCCGTTTACATCTATGAAGCAGGGAGAACATAGCCATAGGGACTGTGGAGCTACTAATGCACGCAGCCCCTCAGAACCATGTGACTCTAGCTCATGACTATTGCTGTTGTTGCAGGCACAGCCTCAGATGGCAGAATTTCCTTAAAATTTTCCTTTTAATCTCCCCAAAAATATTCCATAAAAAACATGGGTTAGGAACAGCCCCAAATCTGCTTCTAGGTTCTGTTCTTGGCAAAATTCCTTGAAAATCAGGCAACCTCATCTTTATCGAGCCTCTGCCATGCACAAGGTGCTGCTCTCTGACGCTAGCTCCCTCGCTGTGATCAACCTGAACCTGAGTGAAATTCCCCCAAATTACCTCAGGGGCAACGTGAACCTCTTCCTGGAAAACCTAGCCAGTGGGTAGCAACAGTGCTGATGGGACCCAGGAGGCCTGGCTCTGAGGACATTCCTGTCCTCCCTCCATAGGGCTCCTCTGCACACAGGCTGTGCAAGACCCAGGATCCTGGCCTGGTGCAGAGCCCTAAAAAGAGCAGCCGTGGGACGAGGATCATCTACTGCTCAGCTACAACCCACAGAGCAGGCGCTGCGTGCCTAGCCAGAGGATCAGGTGACACGCGTGCCTGGCAGGGCTGCTCCTAGGAGGAAGTGGGATGCGGGGATGAAAACCATATATGCCCAGGACAGCCATATCCGTAAGTGATTCATTTACTGCTCCATTTACCACTCCTCTCCAGCAGGCCCCACAGCCCAAGGCAGTAGCTCTTTTCGGAAGGGCTGTGGCTTATGGCTTCTTCTGTTTGGGAATGCCTTCTACCCTTCTCCCTGAATCTTAGTCCCACCCTTAAAGGCCCACTTCAGAAGCCACCGTACCCATGTAGCCTGCCTGAGTCCTGTCCAGCCAAAGAAAAGTCCCTTGAATATTCACAGAATTCACTCACAAACTGGCACACATCTTCCACCCTTCCTTCCCATCACTGACTGGACATCTTGTCAGACCCCTCGCTGCTAGATTACCTTCCCGATGGCCAGACTTGTCTCCTCACAGTCTCTAGCACAGATGAGGCCTTGCTAGAATTGCAAATCCTCAGGTTTGCCCCCAACCTGTTGCATCAAAACCTTAGGACTGGGGGATACAGCTTGGTAGCAGATCAACTGCCTAGCATGTGCAAGGACCTGGGTTTGATGCCCAGCACTGTAAAACAAAAACAAAAACAGACAAGCTGGCATGGGGCCTAGAAATCTGTGCAAGAAATTCTGATACCCATCAAAGTTACTAAGGGTTTGCTGAATGACTAAATGACAGAATGCTGAATTAAAGAACAAATGCATGGACATAATAATATTGATGACCAGGTCTTTATAGCCTCAACCACTGCCCTGCAAAACTAGGGGCTTCAGTTCCTGTCTCATCTTATGTAGGCCCAGGAATTAGTTCAAGTTACAACAGAGTGAAAGGGTGCTGGCCAAAGCCCAACTAAGTACAGGGGCATGTGTGTGTGTGTGTGTGTGTGTGTGTGTGTGTCCATCCTCAACACAAAGGAAAACTCAGTTTAGATGAGGTGAAAGGGCTGGTGGAAGTGGCATTTCTTCCCAAGCCCTTTCCTACAGGTCACTGTCACTATGGAACAGCATGACGAACCTTTAAGAACTTTCAATGAGAACAGCCTGCTGCGGCACACATGCCATAGGTCCCCACCACTGCTACAGAGGCAACTCCTCTGATGAAAACTTTGCCAAGGATTTTTTGGCAGAAGGTTTTTCTTATCAGCCAGTTCAAAGCCCCTCGTTTTTGAATTTCTGGCAAAGTTGAGAAACAATAAAGAGAACATGGCTTAAAACAGCAGAGTACAATTTTGCTCAGAACTTCATGGCTCATTCCAATACCCAACTTCCCTTCTATACATTTCCAGCAGAACCCAGGCCCTGAATAAGGAGGAAAACCAAAGGGGCATCTGAGAGGGACAGAAGAAACACCAGGTACCACTGGATGAGAAGCCACTGCTGGGCACAGGGACAGGGATGTTTCTCTTTTAGTCTCCATCCCTCTGAAACTTGGCCATCTCGAGGTAGCTTGTTCGACAGGGAATCTTGTCTCTGGCCACCTTCTCTCTATCTCCAGCTAACCATTACTGGAGAGAGAATGACCTAGCTCTTCCTCGAACTTTCTGTAATCCTCGGAGCACCTATTTCCCAGACACCCTCCCTGACACCTGGGTCTCCCTGCTCCCCCTCTACTCCCTCCCAACCTGGGCTTTGGTGACCCGATTGCTCTGCCCAGAAGGCCCTGTCAGTCTGCAACTGCGCCACCAACAACTCCACTCCTTTCCACAACTGAGGATGCCCAGGCCAGGCCCCAGAAAAACAGACTAGCTCTGTGCCTATGGGCAGTGGGGCTTGGACTTTTGTTTTAACAACGGTGGTGGGGGTTGAACCCTGAGGTTATCTGCATTTTAAACATTTAAACACAGTCCACCTGCTTGGCACCTGGTGCTCTCTGGTCTGTTTCTCACCCCCACATCTCCTAAAATAGCAACAGTTCTGTGCCTGCCTGTGCCTTAACCTAAGGACACAGAAGCCTGGTGGGGATGCAGGAGCCCTGCCCCTTGGCAATGAACTAACTGCCCTGGAAAGCCTCAGTCCTGGAAAGGGACAGGCAAGGTTCTGTCTGGAGGACTCACCCTGCCGGCTGTCAGAGATGCCGACATTTGCAGGGAGGGGCTTCTCCGCCAGGTGCATTTCCTTGCCAGACCAAAAAGTCCCAGCTGCTTTCCTAGCATCACCAATGTGATGTGGGGGAATGTGGAAGAGGGAAGGGGGCCTAAGGGCACAGTCTAACAAAGGAACCACAGTTCATCTCCATGAGAGGCAGGGATGGGGCTCAGAATCATCCAGGGCCATGTTCTGCAGATTCCTCCCTCACAAGACACCGGTCACAGTGCCAGTTCACTGGATGGGCTGCTCTGCCCGGAGGAACCCACACCCCGCCACTCAAGGACAACCAGAGCACCAGCCCCCACAACAGCAGCACCACTGTCCAGAGGCTGTGGGAGTCAGAAGGCCCCAGCCTCCGGTGAGCCAGGGGAAAGAGGACTGTCTCCACGCAGCACTCAGCAGACAGCAACAGGCTAGATGCACCAGAGAAGCCTCCAGATGCCCCAGTCTGAGAAGTGGGGAAGGAAGAAAGGGGCTGAGATGCAAGACGCCCTCTCTCCAGGAGAAATGCACAGCAGAGTAGGGGAAGACTGCCACGAGAGGCAGCTCCACCAGGCTCCAATGGGGACCCTGGAAGCCTCACTGGTTTCTATAATAAAGTGGCACTGCCAGCATGCAAAGCCTGGCCCACATCCACAGCAGTGTAGTGGCAGGAGGGAGAAGCCTGGGCTTCAGGCTGGCACTGAGGAGAACCCCAGGGCTGGGGAGGTAGCTGAGGGGCAGAGGGGTTGCCTAGCATTCTCGAGGCCTTGGGTTTGGTCTCTAGCACTGCAAAGAACAAGAACAACAAGAGGAAGAGGAAGAAGAAAAGCAGAAGAGGAAGAACCCAGGCAGGAACATTGGCAGCAACCATGGCCTCAAGAGAGGCTTGTCCCCTAGTCTTCAGCCCGCAGCACCCTAGAGCACCAGAGAGCCCTGCTCCTCTCCAAAGGAGTCGCTTTTGGAACCTAGAACCAGAGAGCTCTCCAACACCATCCCAGAGAGAAAGAGCAGAGGCGGCCTTGGTTCCTAAGGTGCAGGGGTGGGACCCAGAGCCCCTGGGCAAGCACTTACACCAGAGTTCATAGTAGTAGTTGCAGCACTGAGACTGTCCACAGCAGTGTCCCGTGTCACAGATGTAGCTCTGATTGTTGGTGCCCACACAGGCTTCCTTCTCCTAAAAAACAAGAAGCATTTTAGCATATTAAACTAGAGCTCTGAAAACATCGATTTTGCCAGGTGTGGTGGTGCACATCTGTAATCCCAGCACTTGGAAGGCTGAGGCAAGATGACATCTGTGAGTTCAAGGCCAGCCTGAACTACACAGCAAGACCCTGTCTCAATGAATCAATAAATCAATCACCAATTTTCTTCATACCCCGCCTCCTGGTCAACTGCCCATCCATCCACAAAGCTGCGGCAGTTTTCTTATTTCTTTAAGGAAAAACGATTAAAAGAACCACACAACACACTTTCAGAGGAGGAAACAGGAGGATCCCAAGCTCAGGCCCAGCATGGTCGACCTGCCAACTTACAACTTAGCAAGACCTTATCTCAAAATGCAAGATAAAAAGGGGCCAGGGCATTGCTCAGTGTGAAGGCCCTGGCCCTCCCCAGCACCACAAAACAATGGCAGTTTGGGTTTACTTGGGGGGTGGGGGCCAAGCAAAGCCAGCTGGGAGAGTGAGTCCCTCAGACCGGACAGAAAAGGGCCATTTCCCTCTTTTTGTCCAAGCAGAAACATTTCCTGCTCTGGTATTAAACTCAGCTGGCAGGAAGGGATGATTCTTCTGGTACTGGCACTATGTTTTAAATAAAACTAACTTTTCTGTGAACTTCCGGGAATAATTAATGAAGTAGGGACTTCAGGATTAGTATCCAGTCAGTCACTTCACTCTCTTTAAAACACATGCTCCCTAAGGCTATTTACAGTGAGATCCAAAAGAAGGAACTAAGCCTGCTCCCCAAATAAGACTCTTAGAAAAAAGCGACTTGGTAGGGTGACCCAGTCCAATTTCAACTTGCTAGATCAGTTTTGCTTATCACATGATTTCCTGAGAATCCTGAGTGGACCCAGGATTCCTAGTGTCCCGCGTCAGGGAGAGTGACATAAAGGACGTGCTGAGTAACCATCTAGCTGTTTGCCAAGTTCTATTCATAGCACTGCTGGATGGGGATGCAGATGAGTGCTTTATAAAAATATATTTCACATTTAAGGTGCACAACACAGCCCAGCCAACCCTACCCTCAGCCCTATGTGTACTCTGGGGTACACCATGTGTAGGATGAAGGCTGAGGTCTGCTGTATCTGGCTTCCAAACTGCCTTGTTCCTAGACTCAGCCTTTGTGCCAAGCACTGTGTTGGGCGGAAGGGACTCAAACTGAAGAAGCCATTGTCTCTATCCATCTTCAGGAAGAGCAGCATTAAGAAAGAAAACCCTGCTCAGCAAGGAAACAAACCACAGGATTGTATGTGCGAGAGTTCGGGCTGACCCTGCCTGGTGCACATCCGGGTAGGTGGCTGCCAGTGGAAACTTGCATCATGCGCCTGGGCCCTCCTCTCTGGGTCTGGCCTCCTTATGCTGGCTGCTTGGCCTGGGTCTAAACAAGCACTCCGGCGACAGTGACAGTGTGCACGCCAGAAGGCCCTGAAGCCACAGTGGGAAGACAGGAGAAGGGGCAGGGCTGAGCACCATGTCCAGCTTTGCCCAAGAGCCCCAGACAAAGCCCTGAGGGGTTTCTGGGTCTTTACAAGCGTTAAACTGTTAAAAAGGAGTTTAGGGTGAAGGAAACACAGGAAGTGCTATTCCACTTTTCGTAAACTCTGACAGCGAGGGTCTCGCACACACAATAAAAGTTTTCTTTACATTCACCTTCCCAAACCCACCAAAAACAGGGGTGCCCAGCAAGCAGGTGGCTTTCCAGATGGAAGCCTCTTCAAAGGCCTGGGACGAAACAGCTGTGCTTGCTGTTTTGGCTGGAACCAGCCTCACCGGCCTCAAAATAAAAAGACTCAGGGAGGTAGTTCAGCCCTAAGCTCAATCTCCAGTAACACGCACACGCGCACACACGCATGCACGCCAGCACAAAGAAACAAACAAGGCCCACATCCAAATGGAAAGAACATTTCTAGAATGGCTGAACAATGTGCCTTTTGCACATATGCAAAAAATCCTCCCATCTCTTTGGTGGCAGCACTGACTGTGGGACTGAGAACATTTTCTCAATAGCTTCCATTCTTGTAGTCGCTATTCTTAGCTGAGCCACTATAAAGGTTAATTTAATCAGTGTAACAACTTGGTCAGTGCCAGCACAAAGTCACTGAGCTGTAAGGGCTCCCCAGGCATGGCTTTAATCTGCCAATTTATGGGGCTGGAAAACTCGGCTAGCAACTGCTTAACAGCAATCTCATCTCCACATCCTTAGGAAAACATGAGAGTTTAAAAGTTTAAGCGTGAAAAACAAGAAACCTGAAGCCTCAGACGTCCGAACACCACCGCTGGTTCTCCTGCGGGCGCGGGCCGACTTCCCACGGACACATTCAGTCCAAGCCACGCCTCTCACCCACCCCACAGGCTGGGCACCGGGCACTACAGCCTTGGCAATGAGCAGGGGGATCTGCTTTAAACAAGCAGTACAGCTGAGTAGGTAAGTTTAAATCGTCTGTGAAAACCCTAGAAACACCGGCCATAAAACAGCTTCCTTTAAATTACACAGCTGAACTTGCACCAAAAACAAGTTTGAAACTAGAAACCAGACTCCTGAGTCAGGCCTTCCCAGGCCTGGAGAGTGGGGTGTGTGTTGGTCCCCACCGATCTGCAACAGGGGCTGTGGCTAAGACCATCATAGAGCTGGGACCCTCAGAGGAGAGAGCAGGCGGGGGTGGGGGAGCCCACTGCAAACAGCAGCCACCAGTCATCCCGCAAGGAGACAGGAGAGTGTCTTCTTGAGTCTGTGGTCACAGGCCCTCCCTTGAGCGGACTTGAGATTCATATTGTACTCCCTGATCTCAGAATGCCCAGGCTAAAAAAGGTTCCTTTCTGAGACAGGGTCTCACTGTGTAGTCCAGGCTGGCCTTTAACTCCCTCTGTGGCCCTGGCTGGCCTTGAACGCATGTCATACTCTTGCCTCAGCTTTCCAAGGGTGGGGATTACAGGCGAGAGTTCAAAACCAGCCTGAGCTACACAGCAAGACCTTTCAACTCCAACCGCTAAAACAAGAAAGGAATTCAAGAAGAGAATGGAGGAGAAGCAATTTTTAATATTTCAAGAGACAAATGAAATTTTCCCAGAACTGATAAAAGGCATGAAATTTTCAGACAATAATAAACTTACTTCTAGGTACACTGCATGAAAATGTAGAACAAGAAAGAACTTTCGGTTATTTGTTCTGAGGCCGGGGTCACTGTGTAGCATTCAGGCCGGCCTTGAACTCACTGTGTGGCCCAGTCTTGTACCAGGATGACAGGCTGAGTGTGGGATTACAGGTGTGCACCACCATGCCTGGCAAAAAAGACCCTGAATACATTTTAGTGCCAAAGACTTGCAATTAACAAATACAATTAGAATTTAAATAGCAGCAAGCCCCACCATGATAAAACTGGAAACAGGACAAGAGGGTTTAGATGAGGTGGTCAGAAAAGGCCGCTTTAAGAAGAGCCCTGAATGGCAGGAAGGAGCCAGCATCCAGATACAGTGGTGCACCCATGTAGTCAATGTACTTTGGGAGGCTGAGGCAGGAGGATCACAAGATCAAGCCCAACCTGGCCAATTTAGTGACATAGTAGGACCCTGTCTCAAAATAAAACAATATAACATGCCCAGCTCCAGACATATGTTCAAATCTGAGAAACACTGCCCTAGATGTACAACAGACATACAATGAAGAGTTCATGCCCTCCAAAATGGAGTAGACTGAAATTCTTTTTCTAGAATCCCAACCACGTCCCAAATTTCCTCCAAAAGTACCTCCTCTTTATTCAACTACTCACATGCTCTTCCCAGAAGAAACACAAACAGTATATCACAAACACAAATCCTGAAGTGACATATCAGGGACACTCCCAAAGCTGCACTGCACCTGGGGCTCATCACAGCCTCACACTGAGTAGCCTGCAGAGAAATTAAAGTCTATTCCCTGTGCCGCTAGGAGAAACCCAAATAACAAACTCAGAAAAAGCCACCTGACCTGGTAGAGTGGGTAGGAAAACCCCAAAGCAAAGATGGGAAGTCACACCACACCCCATGGTTTTCTACGGTCTCCCCATGACGCCCCAGTACATGAGGCTGTGAGGCCAGCCTGGCGCAGCAGCATGGGTCACTCGCCAGGCTCAGACATTCAGCAGGAAAGGCAGCCGCCTCGAGGAAGCCGGTACCCCCAGTACCGGCCTCTTCTGACATGGAAGAGGCCCTCTGAGTTTCAACTCTTTTAGCAAGCGCTGGTGCAGAAAACTGAGGGGAAAACAGCAGGCAGCCTGCAGTAAGCAGGTGGATCCAGCAGCACACAGCAGGTTATCGCCATCTTTCCGCAGGTGATCCTGTGGGGTACCTTTGTTTTTTAACTTTTTTAAAAATGCAATTTGCCCCCGTTAAAAAAAAAAAAAAAAGCAATTTGCCAGGCATAGTGGTGTATGCCTGTAAGCCTAGCACTTGGGAGGCTAAGTCAGGAGGATTGCCATGAGTTTGAAGCCAGCCTGGGCTACATAGTGAGATCCTGTCTGCAAAAATAAATAAATAAAATTTAAAAATTAAAAATGCAATTAACTGCCAATTTTTTTGAGACTGGGTCTTATAATGTTGCCTAGGCTGATCACCAACTCCTAGGCTCAAGTGATCCCTCTGTCTCAGCCTGAGTGGTAGTGTTACAATGCTACAGGTGTGTATGCCACATTCAGCTGTCAACATTTAAAAATGAAAATATGGTTCATATAAAAATCCGACCCTGGGTTGGGGATTTAGCTCAGTGGTTCTGCTGCCTGCCTCAAAAGTGCAAGGTCCCAAGTTCCATCCCCAGGACCCCCCGCAAAAAAAAATCCAACCTGGCTGTGGTGATGCATACCTGTAATCCCAGCACTTAGGAGTCTGAGGCAGGAGGATCGCCATGACTTCAAGGACAACCTGGGTTACACAATGAGTTCAAGGCCAGCCTGAACTACATAGTGAGACCTGTCTTTTTAAA